TCTTGGCTGATTAACATACACTGATTCCTAAAGATTGGAACTACTGCACTGCACTCCCATGCAGGGCACCAGATATCACTGCTGGTTTTCAGCCTCAAATTGCTTCCTCAAGGCATCCCTAATTCTTGCAGCCCCGCGCTGGGCCCCTGTAATAGCCCTGCTCTCTGGCTGTGCAAATTCAGCCTCCAGGTGTTGAACCTCGGAGGTCCATGCCTGAGTGAAGTTTTCACCCTTCCCTTCACAAATATTATGGAGGGCACAGCATGCGGATATAACCGCGGGGATGCTGTTTTCGGCCAAGTCCAGCTTCCCATACAGAGATCGCCAGCGGCCCTTTAAATGTCCAAAGGCGCACTCCACAGTCATTCGGCACCAGCTCAGCCTGTAGTTGAACCATTCCTTGCTGCTGTCAAGGCTCCCTGTGTAGGGTTTCATGAGCCACGGCATTAACGGGTAAGCAGGATCTCCAAGGATCACAATGGGCATTTCGACTTCCCCACCATGATCTTCTGCTCTGGGAAAAAAGTCCCGGCCTGCATCTTCCTGAACAGCCAAGTGTTCCGAAAGATGTGTGCGTCATGCACCTTTCCGGGCCAGCCTGTGTTAATGTCAATGAAATGCCCACGGTGATCCACAAGCGCCTGGAGACCATAGAGAAATACCCCTTCCGATTAACGTACTCGGATCCTAGGTGGGGTGGTGCCAGAATAGGAATGTGCATCCCATCTATCGCCCCTCCACAGTTAGGGAACCCCATTTGTTCAAAGCCATCCACTATTTCCTGCATGTTAAACAGAGTCACGGTTCTTCTGAGTAGGATGCAATTAATGGCCCTGCAAACTTGCATCAACACGATTCCAACGGTCGACTTTCCCACTCCAAACTGGTTTGCGACCGACGATAGCTGTCTGGAATTGCCCGCTTCCAGATTGCAATAGCCACCCGCTTCTCCACTGGCAGGGCAGCTCTCAATCTCGTGTCCTTGCGCCGCAGGGTGGGGGGCAAGCTCCTCACACAGTCCCATGAAAGTGGTTTTTCTCATCCAAAAGTTCTGCAGGCACTGCTCGTCATCACAGACTTACATGACGATGTGATCCCACCACTCGGTGCTTGTTTCCCGAGCTCAAAAGCGGCGTTCCACGGTACTGAGCATGTCCGTGAATGCCACAAGCAATTTCGTGTCATATGCGTTACGCGGCTCGATAACATCGTCGGACTCCTCACCCTCACTGTCACTTTGGATCTTAAGGAATAGTTCGACAGCCAAACGTGACGTGCTGGACAGATAAGTCATCATACGCCACAGCAGTTCGGGCTCCATTTCCTGCAGACAGATCGCGCTGCACAGAAATCGTTGAAAGATGGCGCCAAAGGTGGACGGAAACAAAGGGATTTCTGGGATGCGAAGCGATGCATCACGGGGCGTTGGGACAGGACCCAGAATGCCCCGCACCCACAACCCACGGCGCCAGAATGGGAAGAGGTGCTCTGTGGGATAGCTGCCCATAATGCACCACTCCCAATGGCACAGCAAATGCTGCAAATGTGGCCACGACAGTGCGCTGGCAGCTGGCAGTGTGGACAGACTGCAGCGCTTTCCCTACTCAGCTGTACGAAGTCAGGTTTAATTCACAGCGCTGTACATCTGCAAGTGTAGCCAAGGCCTTAGACTCTATTGAGTGCTGGTGTAAAAGGGAGAAACAGACAAAAAAAAAAAAAATTAAATGCTTTTCCACATAACCTGGAGCAATGTGGGGATGTCTGGGAATGAGACAATCTCACTGTTAGTGACTCTAACAATCACTTTGCCAACGGAGGATTGGAATAAACTGCTCAGGGTCAGTCTAGACTAGAAAAAGGGGAGGAGGAACAAAGGAGACGCACTGGCTAATCCCAACCACTTCTCCTGCCCTAGACAGACACTCGGAGGCTGATATTATCACCCCCCATTTATTCCCTCTCTGGAAGGCACAGATTTGTCTCAGGTCACCCCGCAAGCTGCTGGCAGAGTTGGGAACAGAGCTTAGGTCTCCTGAGTCCCAGGCCAGGGTTCTATCCGCTAGGCAGCGCTGCTTCCCTCTCACAGGCTGATGCTGCTGTAGCAGAGGTGGGAAATCCAGGCTTCCAAGAAAACGCCCTGTGGAAATCAGTCTCTGCCAATGGTGCTGTCTGAATGCAGAGGGGGCAGGGAGAAGGGGCAGAGGGGGTGAGTGATGAGGCAGCACCTCTCTGCCCCTGTGCTCTCCCTCGCCTCTTATCCCATGAGCCCCACATACTCACTAGCCCCAGCACCCAGCTCTCCCTGCTTCCGAGCTACTCCAGCCTCAACCATTCAATCCCCAGTTTCCTCCCCACAACCCATTTGCCTGGTCCCTTAATGGTGGATCCCCCAGAGCCCAGTGCCCTGGGGGATTTGGGGAGCGGAGGAGTTACCAGCCCCTGCAGGGAACAGCTCCAGGTGAGTAGGGGAGCCCAGACCAGGGGTTGGTGGAAGATGGGGGATGGGAACAGGTGTCTAGAGTGAAGGTGGGGCCTGGCCCAAGTGTCCTTCTCCTCATCTCCATGGCAGGGGGATCCCAGCTGGGAGGGGAAGGGAGAGGGGGGAACTTCAGCCAGGCAGAGGGAGCGGCTGGAGGAGTTTCTCTCTCTCCCTTCCCCCACCAGTGGCCCATCAGCTCAGCAGCCAGGGCTGCAGCAGGGGGGAGGGGCTGATGGGGGCTTCTCCTCCTCTGCCTGGGGTTTGCTGAGACCAGGCAGAGCCAGAGGGTCACTGACCAACTGATGCTCGGCTGCTGTTGGATCCTCACCCCAGCGATGGGCAGCTGGATACTTGGGAGCCAAACGCCCCTGATGTGTGTGGGAACGAGGAAATAGGTTTGTCACCATGGCCGGCCCCAGTCAGGGCACTGAGAGAATTTCCCTGTTGTGTGGAGGAGTCTCTGATGTCCAGTATGGTGTTAGCTCCACTTGGACCATGTCCCACACTGAGAACATCTCAGAGGTTACTTCCCTGTTTAGATTTGCAGAGGCCTGATACTCCGGAAGCACCAAATGAACCTTCCCTCACGTTCAAGCTCTCGCTGTTGTGTGGGTCACTGAAGTGTGAAGTCAAATTGAATCTTTTCCTGCAGTCAAGCTACTTCTGGGGTCTCTTACCCTTGTGGATTCTCTCATGTTTGGTCAGTGCTGAGCTCTTATTGAAGCTTTTCCCACAGTCGAGGCATTTATAATGCATCTCTCTGATGTGGATTTCCCCGTGTTTAGTAAGATTTGAACGGTAACTGAAAGTTTTCCCACACTCAAGGCATCCATAGGGTCTTTCTCCTGTGTGGATTCTGCTATGTATAGTAAGGGCTGAACTTGAGATAAAACTTTTCCCACACTCAAGGCATCCATAGGGTCTCTCTCCTGTGTGTGTTCGCTGATGTGTAATAAGCGTTGCACTCT